AAAAAAAAAAAAAAAAAAAAATTGCAAAGAACTAATCTGGCAACATTTTAAAATGGGGAAATTAAAATTTCAAAATGACATATATTTGTCATTACTTTCAATGAAATGAATAATTGTACAGTGTGCCTGCTAAGCTATAGAACATATTACTAGTAAATTTCTATACTATACAAAATATAAAATATTGTTTTGGGGCATCTTTCAGAAAGAATAAAACATTTATACAAAAATTTCAAACTGAGGGTTATAAACTAACTTTTAAACAAAATACTGTACTTGAGTTCCCACTATTATTAGCACTCAAAATACACAGCTTGAATAATTAGCAGAAATGTGGACCCAACAGGCCTAACTGGTAGTCTATATAATTACTTCACATGGCTATGCTTTCGCAGGCAAATGCATTTAAAAGCATAGGCAAAGATATGTTCAGTGCATAGCTAAAAGAATGAAACATTTATACAGAACAGAAGTTTAATCTTTCTACATATGCCTGAGATAACTCAAGGTATTTTCTAATTCTAACTAATCTATCTATAGTTACTATTCTATCTGTAGGTACTACTAATAAGCAATAATACTAATAATACTATAAATTTTACATTGAAGCCATTATGTAAGCTTCCTCCATTTTAAAATTTCTCTGTATATGCATTCATCTTCATCCTTCAGTTTTCCTTTAGCAGGCCAAGCACTTCTCTCCGACAACTGGCTTTTTTTTTTCTTAGACCAGGTCTCGCTCTGTCACCCAGGCTACAGTGCAGTGGCATGATCATGATCATGGCTCACTGAAGCCTTGACTGTCCGTGCTCAAGTGATCTTCCAGCCTCCGAGTAGCTGGGACCACAGGGACGTGTCACCACACCCAGCTAATTTTTTTAAAAAGTTATCATTTAGGCTGGCCTCGGTGGCTCATGTCTGTAATCCCAGCACTTTGGGAGGCCAAGGCGGGTGGATTACGAGGTCAGGAGTTTGAGACCAGCCTAGCCAATATAGTGACACCTGTCTGTACTAAAAATACAAAAATTAGCCAAGCGTCGGGGTGCATGCCTGTAGTCCCAGCTACTCGGGAGGCTGAGGCAGGGGAATCACTTGAACCTGGGAGAGGAGGTTGTAGTGAGCCGAGATCATGCCACTGCACTCCAGCCTGAGTGACAGAGTAAGACTCCAGCTCAAAAAAAAAAAAATTATCATTTGTAGAGATGAGGTTTCACTTTATTGCCCAGGCTAGGCTTGAACTCCAGGCTCCAGCAATCCTCCCACTTACACCTCCCAAAGTGCTGGGATTACAGGTGTGAGCCACGAGGACCAGCCCAAATGACCTCTTAATTCTTTATCCTACTACTTTATCACTTCGTAAATGCACCCTCATTTTTCTTCAATCGACATCTGCATTCTCTCTCCCAACTCCTTCTTTTGGCCTACAGCTTGCTCAAGGTATCATTCATTGAAGGGAGGAGGCGGATCTTTTCCTGACAGGAAGATGCTCTGGCAACTCACTAGCTCCAGCCTTCTCATCTCCAAATCCAACAGGAGTCCTCTCAGGTCATATCCTTCCATAACCTCTGTGTAGCATCTCCTTACAAGGTTGCTTCTTGGTTTGTGTGGCACTGTCCTCTAGGAGTTTCTTTCTAACCCACCTCTGCTGGTTTAGCCTACTTCTCTTGACCTCTTAACACAAATCTCTGTGCTGAGCTTCCTCTCTCTACACTACACTTTCTCTCATTTATCTGATTCACTCCTATTCTTTTAGCTCTCTATGCCAAGCCGTTAATGCCCTCAATAAATCTCTCACAAGCTGCTTTTCTCCTTTTCCATTGAGGCTGTCCTAGTTCCAGAACCTCACTATTAGTCCATGTTCTCATTCTCAATTTCTTTCTTCGTTTAAGTCATTCTACAAACTACTGATGGAGTAATCTTTCAAAGGCTCTGATTGCATCAGTCTTTTCTATTCAAATATCTTAAATGGTTTCTCACTATCTACTGTTCAAAGTTCAAACCTCTTGTTATGTGACTCCGAGGCTTTTGATTTGCCACTATCCCTGAGCATCCTACATTTAGTTCACAATGTTTGAACTAGGCCAAAAAATATATTATGTCCACCACACCTGCTGAAAAGCTAGCCAGCATTGAAGACTCGGTTCAAACTCCAAGTTACCCCATCTGCCTACCTAGTGTGGAAGTAATCTCTTCCTTCTTCATATGTAGAAAGTACCTGACAACTTTTTGTTGACATTGATGTCATTCTGTCTTGCTTTTAAAAGACATGGACCTTTCTTAATTCCATTAATTGAATATGACTTGCGTTAGGATTCTTACTTGCTTTCCACAGTGCCTTCAATGGAGGAGGCAGTGTTAAACACAGACTATTTATCTGGAATTAAAGACTGCTTGTCCAGCAACTGAGCTAACATCTGCCTCTGCCTATTTCTGAAGAAAAGATATGGGATAAGAAATTAGCTAAATATACAATATTATGTGTGTTTTTGTGAGGGGTGGGGAAGGGATAAGTGCTGAATAAATGACTCAAATAATTTTTTCTTTCTTTTTTTTTTGAGAAGGAGCCTCACTCTTGTTGCCCAGGCTGGAGTGCAGTGGCACGTTCTCAGCTCACTGCAACCTCTGCCTCCAGGGTTCAAACAATTCTCCTGCCTCCGCCTCCCAAGTAGCTGGGATTATAGGTGCTCACCACCACATCCAACTAATTTTTGTATTTTTAGTAGACACGGGGTTTCACCACGTAGCTCAGGCTGCTCTCAAACTCCTGACCTCAGGTGATCCGCCCGCCTTGGCATCCCAAAGTGCTTAGATTACAGGCGTGAGCCACTGCACCCAGCTGACTCAAATCATTTCAAAGCATCTTCATTTTATTATTTTACAAAAAGTAGTAATGAGCAATTCCACTCTAGGTATATACCCAAGAGAATGGAAAAATATGTTCATATAAGAAGTTTTGTGTTTACAGTCAAAGAAGCATTATTAATAGCCAAAAAGTGGAAGAAACCAAATATCCATCAACCGTTGAATAATCAGAATGTGGCATACGGATATAACGAAATATTATTTGGCCATAACAAGGATTCTTCACTGATGTTTGCTACAATGTGGATGAATCTTGAAACATTATGCTATGTGGAGATGTCAGACACAAAAAGACACATATTGTCTTGTTCATGTATACAAAATGTCCAGAGTAGGCAAATCCATAGAGACAGAAAGTAAATTAGTGCTTACCAGGGGCTGGGGATAATTGAGAGTGGCTGCTAACAGGTACAAAATTCTTTTTGGTGTAATAAAAATGTTCTAGAGTTAGATAGTGGTGAGGGTTATAACAACATCACAAATATACTAAAAACCTGAATTTTATATATTAAAAAGGTAAGTTTGATATTATAAAATTTAATCTAAATTTTAAAAAAACCAGTTATGAGTTTCATCCCCCAAATGACAGCTTCAATTTGTGGTATAATAGAAAAGAGTTTTGACCTTTCAGTCAGCAAATCTAGGTTTAAGCCAATTGTGCGCACTTAACTCCCTTACTTAACTGTGGCATCTTTAGGATGCGGCTAAACTTCTCTAAGCCTTAATAACCTCATCTATAAAGTGAGGACTATAATGCCTTACAAAGTCACTGTGAGACCCATGATATAACATAAAATTATTATTTCAAATAAACAAAACCTTATCGTTATTTTGTGTGCCTAAAATGATTTAATGATTTTTTTAAAAAAAAAATCCTAAGCTGTATTGAATAGTCCATAATTTCACTGAATAGTCCACAACTTTTTATTGTTGGCATGTTATCTAACCAGCTTTTTTATTGTTATATATGAATGACATCTTAGGGCTACATAGCACTTATCCTGTAGGCACTAATAGAACATTACAGAGTTATTTAATTCTAATCTTCACAGTGAGGGGTAGCGTGGTACAACAGTTATAAACACGGGCATAGAGTGGAGTTAAAGTCCATGTTTTGCTACAGACCTCGAACAAACACCTAATCTCTATGAACATCAGCATACAGCCCTGTAAAGTATATGTAAGAATATGTGTGTGTATCTACACAGATATCCATTAAAGAGGCTCACTGAGATACTCATTATATAAAGCTTATATTATAATACCTAATACCTAACAAACACTCATTCAGCAATTGTTATTATTGTTGTCCATCCTGTGGAGTAACAAGTTTAAATGACTGGTTTTCGTCTACAAGACAAATTTGAGGCCAGGCATGGTGGCTCAACCCTGTAATCCTAGCACTTTGGGAGGCTGAGGCAGGTGGATCATCTGAGGTCAGGAGCTGGAAACCAGCCTGGCCAACATGGAGAAACCCCATCTCTACTAAAAATACAAAAACATTAGCTGGGCATGGTGGCGCGTGCCTGTAATCCCAGCTACTCAGGAGGTTGAGGCAGGAGAATTGCCTGAACCCAGGAGGCGGAGGTTGCAGTGAGCCGAGATCGCGCCATTGCACTCCAGCCTGGGTAACAAGAG